AGACGCTATATCTTTTGATAGCCGGGCACCATCAGCTTTCTTCACCACATTTGCTTATTCACCCGCTTTGTCTTCAGCGGTTGTGTCGGGAAGGTGTCCTTTTTCTTGTTGTATTGCTCTGGGTAGGACTTCTAATAGAACCTAAAATAAAAGTGTGAGAGCTAGCACCTTTGTTCCTGATTCCAAAGGGAAAGTTCTCGGTTGGCTATTGACTTTTCATATATAAAAGGACTTCCAAAAGTTCATAGAAATCTTTCATAATCTTTCCATTTTATTTATTGACGAACTTTTTGAGCCCCCCCTCCCCCCCCATAAGCCATTGAATCGTATTGGAGAAATGCTCCTTCTCTGTGGCTCTTTAAGGTTTGTTTTCATCAGGAAATGGAGTTAAGATTTTCAGGCGCTTTGTCTGCATCCGTAGAGTACCTACCATGTGATTCTTTTCCTTGGTTCCATTGATATGGTATATTGCATTTATTAGTTTCTGGGTTTTTTTTCATTTTTTTACATTCATATATTTTTGTTTAAAGTTCCTGAAATTCTGCAGAAGTACTTTGTGACTTATCCTTGTGTGTATGCACTGTTTTAGTCTGGGTTCTCTAGGAAAACAGAAGGTTACACACATACGTCTGTGTAGATGTGTACAAATTTAGCTTATGGTCATTGAGTCAGTTCTGACAACAGAGCAAAACACTGCCCAGCCCTGTGCCAGCCTCACAATTGTTGCTCTGCTTGACCCATTCAGGGATGCCTCTTTTTCATCGACCCTCTCCTTACCACGCCTGGTCTCTTTTTCAAGGGACTGATCTCTCCTGAGGACATGTCCAAAATACATGAGACAGTCTCACAATCCTTGCTTAGGAAGCATTCCGGCCAGACTTCTTCCAAGACAAGTCTATCTGCTCTTCTGGCAGTGCATTTATTGTGTTTCTAATGTTGAGCCATCCCAGCATTCCTCGAGTAAATCCCACGTGGTCATGGGATATGACTCTTTTAATATGTTGTTGGACTCTGTTTGCTAGTATCTTGGGGGTGTGTGTGTTTTTTTTTATATATATCTACATTTATAAGACATAGTATCATATAAGTTTTTCTTTTGGCATCTGTGTAATGTGGGTGTGTGGTGTATGTTTGTGTCAGGAATGCATTTGGCCCTTTCCTTCCCTTTCCGTCTCCAGGAAGAAGTGAAACTATGCTGGTGTCAGCTTGTCTCAGGACATGTGGCCGACTTTCCCATGAACCATCTGGTATGGAGTTTCGTTGTTGCTGTTGGGGGCGTTAGGGTCACTGATTGCATCCCCCAACTTGGGATTCTGCGAAGACTCCATTTGGGTCGGCTCTGGAAGAATTTTTCCATTTCATCTAAGTTATCCACCAGAAGCCCTGGTGGTGTAGTGGTTTGTGTTGGGCCACTAACCATAAGGTCAGCAGTTTGAAACCACTGCTGCTCCCCAGGAGAAAGTGTGCCCTCTCCACTCTGAGGAAGCGTCCATCTCAGAAACCCACGGGGGCACTTTCACCCTGTCCAGTAGGGTCTCTGAGTCAGCATCATCTCATGGCAGTTGGTTTGGGCTTGAATCCACTCTGGTACCATATAGTTGTTCATCATATTGTCATAATTCTCTTTATTTCTCTCATATTCGTTGTCCCGTTGCCTCTATCCATTTTTGTTTTGTTTTGTTCCATCTATTATCTATTTAAACAATGTTTTTGTCAGTCTAGCTCATCGCTCGTCGTCGTTATTGAGTAACACAGGAACCGACTCCTGCCTTTGTTGTTTTCGGCTTCGTCTTTCTTCTGCTCTGGTGCTGTTTCCTTTTCCTGGTTGTTTCAGGCCTGGCTTGCTCTTCCCAGTTCCTGGAGGTTTTGAGTTCTCACATTTATTCTGTTTTAGAATTTTTGTACTGGGAATTGGGGTCGGGGGTCGGGGTTTCTCTTTCAGACCATTGGAACAGTCCAAAGTGCTCGTCAGCCTCCCCTCTCATCCAGTCTTCTATCCCATCCACCTGCAGGCTTAATCCCATTTTTACGCCTTGTTCTCAAGTGATTTTTATGCCTAACCTCTAACCAAACCGCCGCTTCTTACTCTTTTAAAAAATCCTTCATCCTCTCTCATTTCCTCCTGTCCTGTACTCGAGTCGGGCTGGGCGTGCCTGGTTCACGGCCCCTGAGTCCCGTCTGTGTGCTGTCCTTTCAGAGCTTCACACGCTGTGGCAGAATGAGGAGCGGGCAGCCATTTCCTCCGGGAAACTCAACGAGATCTGGCACCGAAGACACGACTATTGGCTTCTGGCCGGGATTGTCCTGTATCCTTTGACACCGATGCAAGGACAGTGGTGCTCTCCATGTAGAGGGCGACTCTAGAGAAGAGGAGCTGGCACCAAGGGCAGGCAGGGGATGCCGGGCACCCCTCTGAGAAGTCACTCCAAAGGGCAGATGTTTTGATCACCAAGCGCATCCTGTTCCATTCCTTAATGGTCCCCTTTCCGCCAATGGCAGCCACGGTTATGCACGGTGGCAGGACCTCCAGAATGATGCGCAGTTTGCTATTATCAATGAGCCGTTTAAAACTGAAGCCAATAAAGGGAACTTTCTGGAGATGAAAAATAAGTTCCTGGCCCGGAGGTTCAAGGTGAGGACGGGTGAAAAGGCCAGGGGCAGGGGCGGGGGTCAGAGCTGGTGGGATTCTGAGGGAGCGCTCACAGGGCAGTGAGGCTTGAGACCACAAGCTTCGAGGATGAGCGGAGTATCCGCTTGTGTTGGAGACTGGGGTCCAGCTTAGTCTGATGTCAGGGTTGCAGGTGTGGAGCTGGGAGTGTGGGGTGTGGGGCAGTGGTGCTGTTCACCCACAGCTGCCCGCACTCACCCCACTCCACCCCCCCATGCCCGTGCCCTCAGCTCCTGGAGCAGGCGCTGGTGATTGAGGAGCAGCTGCGGCGGGCGGCCTACCTGAATCTGTCACAGGAGCCGGCGCACCCCGCCATGGCCCTCCACGCCCGCTTCGCCGAGGCCGAGTGCCTGGCCGAGAGCCACCAGCACCTCTCCAAGGAGTCGCTGGCGGGGAACAAGCCGGCCAACGCCGTCCTGCACAAGGGTAAGGGCCGCGGCGGCCCCGCGCGGGGGAGGGCCCACAACGCTGCGTAAGTCTTCACCCCGCACCCCTCAAAATCTTCCCACCCCCCTGACCCCTGTACCTTCCGAACCATCCCCCTCTGCCTTCTAACCCCACCCTTCACCCATCGGACACTCCCTTGGTGGTTAGCCTCTGGGACTTGTGCACGCTAACCCTGGCCCCTGCCTGGCAGTGTTCCCACCAGTGTCTGACACAGGGGCCTGCCCCTCAAACTAGGTGGAACTCCCCCGGGTTCCCTAGGGACGGTGGGACTGCCTCACTGACCTACACGCTGCCAGACCGCTGGAGCCCTCCTGTCCAGGGCCTTGACCTGAGTGTGCTCCACAAAAGCCCTCCCTCTGCCTGCCCACATCACATTCCCTCACAGCCCATTCACCCCAGGAGGCAAAACCTACCACCTGGCACACCCTGACTCCACGCTAGGAAACTTCCCTTTGACCTTCAGCCGGTCCTCCCAAGCCCTCTTACCTTGAGAAAAATAGACCTTCTAAAGCCCTCTCACCTGCTAATCCTACTCAACGGAGGGAGGGACTGACTCCTGACTCCTTTGATTCCTATTCTAATTCCTTGACTCCGTAATACAGACCCTCTTAATGCTCCCTCACCTTTACCTATGAAAACCTTGATTCCGTAATCTTTGCTACCACTTGCCACCTCCCACGCCTCCCACCTATTTCCTCCCCATCATCCCTACCCCCAAGAGCCTCACTCTTGCAGTATGGGATGTTCTGACAACTCCTCGCCCCGTGTCTTCCAATGTCCTTCCCTGTCTTCCTTTGTGCCTTCTTTCTCTCCATCCGCCCTCTGTGCTGATCTGGCCTCTGCCTCTTCGCCTGCCACTCTCTCTCTTTCCTTGAGTTGCTCTTTTTCTGTCTGCGCTGGCCCTCTCTTGGTCTCTGCCATTTGTCTCTCTCTCACTCGCACTCTACCTGTCCGTTTGACTCCTCATCTCTTTTCCTGGCTGCATCTCTCTCTTTCCCTTGCTCTTCTTTCTCCGTGGCCCGGGCCCCAGTTCTGAACCAGCTGGAGGAGTTGCTGAGCGACATGAAGGCGGACGTGACCCGCCTGCCAGCCACGCTGTCCCGAATACCCCCCATCGCAGCCCGCCTTCAGATGTCCGAGCGCAGCATCCTCAGCCGGCTGGCCAGCAAGGGCGCAGAGCCTCACCCCACGCCGGTAACCCTCTCCCCACACTCCAGTTCCCCCTGCTCCTGCACACATGAACACACTCCCATCAAAGCCCTGTGCACTGTGCTGAGCACCCAGCCAGCACACACTCACCACCCTGTGGGAGTCCCACATGGACTCAACTCCCTCCTCGTTTGGGAGCCTGGCTGGGAGTGGCTCCCCTAGTGTCTTGCCACTCAGCTGGTGGTGGACTGTCTAACTTCAGCTTGTACTCTCTCCCTCAGGCCTTCCCTCCGGGTCCGTACGCCACACCTCCGGGGTACGGGGCAGCCTTCAGCGCCGCCCCCGTAGGGGCGCTGGGCGCCGCAGGCGCCAATTACAGTCAGATGCCCGCAGGTTCCTTCATCACAGGTCAGCTGGTCATTTTCCTCCCTCCCCGCTCGCTCTCTGCCACAGTCAAGCAGCATCCCTGCCAGCTCTTGTTTGCTGCTCTAGCCCTCCCGTCACCTACGGAATGGCACAGTGCCAGGCTTTGCCCTCACTCTTTCTGAAGCCCTCACCCCGCCAACCCCCATCTTCGAGGGTTCTCCTGGTTCTGGGCTGGGTCTCACCTACCCAAGTTGCCTGCATCTGGGACCTTCCCGAGGGAAGAGATGAGAGCCCAAAAGAGGTCCGCCAAGAGTTGGCACCTCAGGAGGCACACAGGGGAGCCTCGGGGCCAGATTGGGGGTGGGGGCTGTTCCTCCCTTGTCTTCCCACCCTTACCCTGGGAGATCTGGAGTGGCAGTCGGGGTTCTTGAAGCAGGACCGGGCTGTAGTAAGGAAGCGGTGTTTGGGTGCACTGTGGAGACTGACCCTTCCTCGCTCGCTTCCTACACAGCCGCCACCAACGGCCCTCCAGTGCTGGTGAAAAAGGAGAAGGAAATGGTGGGGGCAATGGTGTCAGACGGGCTGGATCGGAAGGAACCCCGAGCCGGGGAGGTGATCTGTATAGACGACTGACCGGATCCCAGGCCTGCCCTTCACCCAGGCCCTGTTCCCGAGGCCGGCCCCCAGTCCAGGCTCTGGGGCCTGCTGCCAATCCTCCACCTTCCCCACCCCTCGGGCCACCATTGGGCTAGAAGCCCCTTTGCCCCTCTCTGCAGGAAGGACCTTAAGTCTTTCTCCACTCCCATGCACCCTTCCTGCTGAGCTTTGAGGAGTGTGCTGGTGAAAAGAGGGTGGTGGGAGATGGTTAGCAGGGTCTTTCAAGTACCTTTCTCCCCTCCCCCACCCCCAACATACACAGCTTCCCAATAAATGGTGTAGGGAGGAAAGAGGTGGCGCCTCCCCAGTCTTTTTTCCTGCAATGTAAGCACCATCTCCCGCAGAAGCCGGGGAGCCTTGCTTGGCCTTTAGGAACTTTTTTGGGAGGGGAGGGGGAAGCTTGGAAGAGAGGAGGAGGATTTTCGAGAGGGTTGGCAAATGAGTTCTGGGAGGGAGCAAGGGAGGAGGTGGGCTGCATGTTACCCTCCCCACCTCTCCCCAAATCAAGGGTGAAGCAGTCAACAGGGAGGGAACCCATTGCTGACCAGCCTCAGAATAAAGGTACCGTCCATTGGCTCAGTACCTCCCGTGTACCAGCATCTCATGTGAGCCATTTTCCCCCTCTGTAGGGACCAAGGACCACCCCTACAAAAAGAACAAAATGGTTGGGCGCCACCCTCTCAAGCCAAAGAGGAGCTCCCCAACCTGTTCTAGGGGCCATGTAACCTAGAAACGGTGGAAGAGAATACCGTGGGCCAGATACGGGGGAGCCCCCCACCTTGGGTTCATGTCCCTAGAAGGCTTGGCCCTCCTCAAGGACTAGATACAGACTAAGTGTGAGTGGGTCACGCAGGGGGGCTAGTCAGGAGGCCATCTTGCCCCTTGACACCTCTAAAGCAGAGCAAAAGAGTGGCGGAGGGCAGGCTGGGGACACATGGGCACATCCCCTTCCCAGAAGGAGCCGGGGAGAGTGGCAGTTTGCATGGCGAACCCCCCACTTCCTCTTCGCTGCCCTTCACTTTCTTGCTGCCCCTCTCCCAGTCTCTCTTCACACCCACTCCTGGTCTGTCCCGACCCCTTCTTCTGTATCAGGTTTATTGGTTGTACATATAAATTATACTTTCCTTTCTGTGTGCTGTGATTTTTGAGTGGGAGAGTCCTTTGGCTGTGGGGAGGGTTAAGAAAGAGTGTTGCTCCTTGCCATTTCAGATTCATCCTTTTCTCTCCTGTCATCTTGTGACTTTCCCCTCGTCGTTACCACTTGGGTCATACCCTAAAACTGTCTCAGGCTCTCCCTTTTCCAACCCCGGGTTGGCTGCTCAGTGTCGGGATGGGCATGCACAGCCAGGGGATGGTGAGCAGCAGGGATCATTGTAACACAGGGGGAGGGGGGAGGGGGGAGGGATGGCCAAGGGCACCGCCAGGAGCTGTTGGAGGGAGGAGTGCCTGACAAGACCCAGTGCTCTCCATTCATCCACTTTAAAGTTGCCTAGTTCCTCTCAGTCAGTAGAGGTCACTACAGGCCCGCCAGTTCTAACCGTTCCTGTGGTAAGCAGAGGCACACCTACCTGTTTTTGAGCACCTGGAGGGGTCAGACCGCGGTTTTGCCAGACTGGAACCCTTGCCTCCTCCCTGATACACGTACTGTTCATCCTGAGAGGAGAGCCTACCAGTGGTTGATCAAGAGGCCAGACATAGTTTGAGGGGCTGTTCCAGAGAGCACAACATGCAGTGTCAATGCAGCAAACGTTTATTGAGTGCCTCGTTGACATGGACACTGTTGCCAGCCCTGGAGATACAATAAGTCACAAGTCCAGTGTTGTGCTCCAAGAGCTGAACACTAGTGGGGGGTGGGGCACAAAACAATTGAGAAAAGCAATGGAAAGGAGACAAGGCAGGGTGACAAGAGAAGTTGGGGGAAAGGGTTGCACTAGGCTGAATGCTGAGAAGTCTCTCCCAAAAGGTGACATTTGAGACTTTGTGACAGGGAAACACTAAGGGTCACAAAAATAGGAATATATATTTTGAAAGTTCACATTTGTAGTCCAGAGAATACCATCAATTAGTGATGTACACAAAGGACTAAGGGTATTTCTTCAACACTAAGCTTGTCACTTTAGGACTTTCAATGCCAATGATACCGATGGTTTTAACTATCCCATTCCCAGATAATGAGATCCCAGAGTGAGGAAGTAGACCAGTACATCTTCAGTGTGGACTTGCACACAGACCACCTGGGATTTTTGTTATAATCCAGACTGATCCGACCACAGCAGCCCAGCACGGGGTCCTAGGATTCTGTGCTGCTTCCAAGCTTGCTCTCCCAGTGGCTACATTAAGACTATCATCAGGCGCTAGTTAGCAGGTTTTAAAGCAGAATTCCTGTCATTCAATAGGTGATGTTCAACCACAGGAGGCATGTTTAAAATGGTACATTGTTGCCAGTGTTTAACCCCTAACAACAGATAACATCAGAAAACGCTTTTATCCAAGGGTTTACCCCTAATATCCTTGAGAGGCCCTCATTTAGCTGCCTGAGATAAATGCGTCTTGGATCTTCTGATCTTTGCCCTACATATTGAACAACTCTGAGATACGCAAGACTCCTAATAGGCGACACAGCATGGCCATCATTTTAGGAACACACTACTGTGGGTAGGGAGAAGGTGGGGTGTTCACAGCTACCAAACAAAGTGAGATATTAACACAAATTCGCCTCGCCCGCTTCATTTTAAAAAGAAATACAATCTCAAACCATTGACACAGAAATGCTAAAATAGGACCTGTTGCTCCCCCACAAGCACACCAGCACTGCCCTGGACATAAGCCAAAAATCACAGCTCAGGAAACCCGTCTGTCGTCTTCCCACTGCAAGGAAGGCTTTGTTTACATCAGCCCGGGGCCACTCCATGCGAATTGGTTGGGGCTGGCAGTCGGGAGACGGGGCGATTTCGCCTAGGACCTCCCTACTTCAGGATCAGCACCTCCCGGGGCGTTCCCTTCTGCCCCGGGCTCAGTGGCCTCATCGAGTGCCAGGCCGGTGTCCGGGAGCTTTAACAACGTGAGCTCCCAGTACGGAAGCGGCAGCTCCCACCTTTCTTTGGCCGTAGCTTCTGCGGGGATCCACAGTTACAAGGTACAGCGCGTCATGTGGGCAATGTCTTTGACCTCCGGACAGTACAGCACTGGGGGCAAGAAGAAGGATTAGTGACAGCGGTTGGACGCACCAGCACCCTGGCATCTGCAAGCGATCTCGTCCCTTTGGCCTTCGCGGGCTGGCCCTCACCGTTGCTAGGCAGCGGGCGCCGCCAGCGGCGCGCAGGCGCCACCACCTGGTCCAGGAGCCTCCGCAGCGTGCGCCACCCCGCGCTCC